ACATTCAACCACAGATTTCATAAAAACAAATTAAATGAAAAATATATATTTTGAAGAAAAATTTACTTTGATTTTTGGTTTGAACTAAATGTGTAACTGATTGTAAGCGTGCAAATGAGGAGGAAATGTTCTTTCCTCATGGTAATCTTTTGTTGTCACGTCTATGATTATCACGGTAGGAAGCTTACGAAATTCCTATTCCAGGTGTTCCGCTTCGTAGTTTCTTGTATCTAGGTGTCGGGCGTGGAAGTTCAGGGTGTCCAGGTGTTCCGCTTCGTAGTTTCTTGTATCTAGGTGTCGGGCGTGGAAGTTCAGGGTGTCCAGGTGTTCCGCTTCGTAGTTTCTTGTATCTAGGTGTCGGGCGTGGAAGTTCAGGGTGTCCAGGTGTTCCGCTTCGTAGTTTCTTGTATCTAGGTGTCGGGCGTGGAAGTTCAGGGTGTCCAGGTGTTCCGCTTCGTAGTTTCTTGTATCTAGGTGTCGGGCGTGGAAGTTCAGGGTGTCCAGGTGTTCCGCTTCGTAGTTTCTTGTATCTAGGTGTCGGGCGTGGAAGTTCAGGGTGTCCAGGTGTTCCGCTTCGTAGTTTCTTGTATCTAGGTGTCGGGCGTGGAAGTTCAGGGTGTCCAGGTGTTCCGCTTCGTAGTTTCTTGTATCTAGGTGTCGGGCGTGGAAGTTCAGGGTGTCCAGGTGTTCCGCTTCGTAGTTTCTTGTATCTAGGTGTCGGGCGTGGAAGTCCAGGGCGTCCAGGTGTTCTGCTCCGTAGTTTTTTCCATCTAGGTGTTAAATGTGAAAGTTCAGAGTGTTCAGGTGTTCCTCTCCGTAGTTTCTTGTATTTAGATATCGGATATCCAGGGTGTTCAGGTGTTACGCTTCGTAGTTTCTTGTACCTAGGTGTTAGATGTGGAAGTTCAGAGTGTTCAAGTGTCCCTCTGCATAGTTTTCTGTGTTTAGGTTTCCTGTTCTGAACCGATCGGCACCAAGATCTATACAATTGCTGTACATGCTGTACAATCCGTGCATTTCTTGATATAAATTTGGTACAAAACCAGTACCAATTTTCTATAGAAAGCATGTTAACAATAACTCGTCAAAAATAATCACGGTAAACGCTTAATAACAAACATACAGCATTAGAATACTATGTGCACGTGCAAAGTAAGTACTTTGGAATTCCTGGCACGGACATGCCAAGTAGTACTCGATAAGGAATCACCTACAGTTTTATTAATTATTAAATCACCATTAAATCGTAATTAAATACGGGAAGCAGTAGTAACATAAAAAAGTAGCGAAAACGTTATAGGAAATATTGAAAATATAATTAAAATGATGGGCCAGTGCTAGATCATATAATAGGAAAACATGTAGTGACTTATGTACTTGGCCTCAATAATATGATATCAATACTTTTTGTTAGAGGAATTCACAGCAATCCTGTACTTGGCGTAGTTTTTTACACGTAAGTGTTTTTTGGGGGATCTATTTTTTAGCTTCGAATCGAGCTCATGGATTTTTTCCACGGGGTCAAAGTTCACTCTGTTCGTGTAGATGTATGTATATAGCCATCTAAGCTTTTTGGCATCATGATTGAAATTCAGAAAACGCCTGTTTAGAAATACCAACCAACCCTGCTTAGAAATATTCTTATATTACGTTCAAGGGTTAATTCGACGACTGATTTTTCCGGTATGAACTTTGACCCGTAGAAATATGTATCACCGACCACGGGATGTTTCGAAAGAACGACCGGTACATGTGTATGATGTAATTATTGGTACTTCGCTGCTGATTAGATGATTGGCTCGTCACATTATCTCGATGCGTGGGATGTTTCTAGTACTCGTGCACCGAAGACGCTCCTGACCAATGACAAATATTTTCTCGTACATTCAACCTCAAGACTTTTCATCAGGCCCAATTGGAAGGAATCATCAAACTCGATGACTCCTCCTTGCGCATACAAATACAATTGGAACTGCAATGATTGTTCGTGACAATTTTTTTTATTTTTACTGTACACTCGCCACGAGAAAGTTTTACTTGGATGGAGAAAAGAAAAAATGTTTAAATTAAAGGCAGAAAGCGTTGGGGTTATGTAAAATTTGGTAATGGACATTCTCGTAACTGGTTTAACGCGCATGCGCGTCTCGTTCATTGTTTGACTTATCATCGTCATCGTCGCTCTTGAGTAATGAAAATCGCATGTGTGTTTCACCGTGGCAGCACAAATGAAAAGAGGTGTACGTACACTCGGATACAGAAAGTTATGAGAGCGTAGATCCCATTTATCTTTTTGTCACTGAATTTCAATCACGAAAGGGATTCGTGAGATCGGGACGAAATTCAGTGACCTGAAGTCACGTGAAATCACAATGCGATACCTTCACGCTTATCACGCGTACAAATCTTAATAATTTCAGACGGGTGATCCGTGAGCACGCGCCTTTTTAAAAAATTACATCTGTTTCCTTGAAAGGTATCGTTTTCTCTTTTATGCCCGCATACAATATTTCCGTACAATTCAATAGCTATTGACACGAATACTAAAATCATTTATGTACTTTTATTAATTAGTCATATAGTACTCGACTGTTTGACAAGAATAAATTCCTAATTCCAGGAATAACAAGTGTCACATTACCGAACCTCGTGACCGCTTCTATATGTATTTCTGACTAATTTTCAGCAATTTGCTGCTCCCTGTACGTCGCTTCGTGACGTATTCCCAGAGACGCCAGTCTCTGGTTTTGGTAATTTAGACCAATTGTTAATGGCGTCCAGTCGCGTTACGTCGTTGCAGTTATTGCCTGCATTAATTCAGGACGTTCGGCAGAGAGGAGGCCTGTCGCTACAGTATATACATATATTCCGTGAATTTTTTAAAGGGGCCATCTTCCTATGACTTATAACGTAAAAGAGTCCCCCAAACGGGATCGACCGTAAGTTCATCGTAAAAACACACCGAAATATTATCAACGGATATTCCATTAGCATCGTCATAAATTCTATCCCATTTCCTACCCTGGAGCCTTAATCTCATTAATAGTCAACGTTATCACGATGTTATTAATAGTCGAGGCGTCAAAATGGACATGAAAAAAAATGTCACTCGTGAAACCTCGCAGCCTTATTAAAGACCTTCGTTAATTATAATTGATTAGGGATAATTAATTATTTTCGCCAGCACGTTAATTGCTCGATAAAATTGCAGCATAGTGAAGGCAGCGTGGCGTAACGTAGAAAGTAAAAGTACTTTCATTCGTCATTTTTCCATACTTATGTATTACTATATCTGTATATATTATATATATATATATGTATATATACCTACGAAAATCGTATACTTTCCTACGATTAAAATTACAAAGAGTTTTTACGAGCCGATAAAGCTTTACGGTCCAGTCAAGAGAATTCAGATAATAGTTTCGTACAATCGGTGTCTACGACTCCAAAACAACTTGCCAGGGTAATCTCAGGGTACTGTGATATACAATTAACTATCCGGGAAAGTTCAGTGAAAACAGTGAAAGCCTATTTTTTCCCTTATCGTCGGACATAAAAGTTAATCCTCATTATAATCATAAAGGACATATAGCCAAGTAACACGCATGTAATTTTGTCACATGGGACACGCGTAACACGCAGCCACGCATATTGCTGGTACTCACGTATGCACCACGTGGGTTGAGTCAGGGGGCAAAGGAGGGTAGTCAAAGAAATCGATTTCACGTTGTCTCCGACAACGCAGAATATTAAAATGACGTATACAAAAATTTTCATACGACCCCGTGCATAAGGTTGCTTTGTGTTCTTGAAAAGTATGAAAATTACGTAAGACTAATATTCGTTCGATCTTTTACATGATTTTTATTTTTCCTATTTTTATAAGCATAAATTGATTTTTCATGGTCATTTTGTCAAGCGACTGTACCGATGCTCAATAATTTGAGGTTACCGTTCACTCTCGACTTCAACAATGCAACGATTCTGGCTGCTATCGAGCCGTACGTTAATGACGTAGCTTTGTAACTGACACACCTGTTTTTAGGGCGGGGAGAGGACACGTGGATCTCGCTATCCTGCTTACGTAAGCCTCAGGTTAAGGATAACGGTACTATACGGATTGCGCAAATCCTCGTGTTTACTATGCTCGAGACAGTACGTTGCTCCGGGCTAAATAGTCTTTGGAGAAACTGTCAGAGTATCCAGAGAGACGGAGACTGCGCGTGCACGACGGACACCTTGTTAATTTATTTTAAACGATATACGTGTCTTGTATGATCGATATGCTAATTTTAGATTAATTATTTCATGAGGACTGTTACGGATTGGTATTTTGTAAGAAGCTAGTAAAACTTTGTGAGAGTAGCTTTAAGGTTTTTGTGTTGCACGTATTCAGTTGATGGATTCAAATATTAATGGCCGTTTCCAACGTTCGCTTGGTTGACGAGTTTCTGACTTGGGTTACTACAGCATTAATAGTAATCTGTAAATCATTAGAACTGAAGGCTTTTCTAATGTCACTCTTGATGGCGGATAGTTAAACGTCTTGTGTACTGTTCTTTTTATTCTTTACTTTACTTTGATATAGGGATAGGCTGTTGGTGAGAGAGCGATAAGAGGTATCTAAAACGAGTGAAATGACCATGTTTGGATTAGGCGATAGACAACAATAGAATTTAGTTAAGTGTTTTTCTTCGTATCCTTTTAGCTGCTGACTGGTAGCCGTAAATACGTAAAACGTTATTCGCTTTCGATAGAGTCTAGGAAACCACTTTATAAGAGTCCTCCGCGTTCGCAGCTATTATGTAATTCGTTCGTGTTAAGGAGGTCCTGCAACGATGATAAACTTCGTAGCCAATTTATAAATTGGGTGGGCGTTCTCGATTCTGCCGGACCGATAGCTTTGTCAACCATGAACTCTTGGCACTGTGCATCATCATAATCTTCTTTATGCGATCTTGAGCCAGTCGGCCATCTTGGCTGGCTGTACTGCACTAACAGTTCGAATCTGACTTATCACGTGTTAACGCAATATTTTCTTCTTTATCGTTACAGACTAAAACAGACGCCGACGTCATAAGTATGATCGCTTACATTCTGATTGTCGTCGGAGCTCTGACGTTTGTCGTCAGCTTTTTGGGATACTGTGGCGCCATGTTTGAATCACGTTGTCTGCTATGCGTCGTAAGTTCGTACTAACGAAATTTAATTTTATAAGCTTTATGTATGAAATTGATAACTTTAAGGGTATGAGAAAAATTTTTATACTCGATTCAGTCTTTTCTTTCGATTTTGTCATTCTTTTGGACTTGACTGTACGCCGTGTTAATAAATTTGTATTTTTGTTTTTTAGTACGGCATTCTTCTTCTATTGGTTTTGATACTGCAGTGCATCGTCGTCGGACTGGCATTTGGATTAAAGGGAGACGTGAGTACAATTTTCAGCGAAGTCACGCTGGTTAATTATTTGGCAAAATGTAAAATTTGTATAAGGCTTCAATTAATTATTCCATTAAAACTTACAGGCGGAGAAGGAGACTCAGAATTTTTTAAAGTCCACCATTAAGCATTACGCTGCTTCCGAGGATCGGACCGAGACCGTGACTCTTGCTTGGGATGGAATTATGACTCAGGTATTAATTTTCTATAAATGTATGATAATACCCGTAATATTAATATCTCCAATATTCAAGTGTACTGTTTAAAATAAATTTGATTTCTCGATTTTAGCTTCACTGTTGCGGGGTTGATAATTATGAAGACTTTCGGGACAGTGCCAATTGGGCGGGAACTGGCAAGCGGGTTCCAGAAGCTTGTTGCATAATGGAAAACGGCCTGCTGAAAGATTCAAATTGCCCGCTAAGTCCAACAATGGCGAATTCCTATTATCAGACGGTAAGACAAAAGAGTCAACGATAAAATACTCCTTTCTTCAGATTCCTTGATTGGCTGTAATCCTTTCACAGATTTTTTCTTCTGATATATACTCGTGACGCGGAACTACCTCCTAGCGAATGAACCTATAGAAATAAATTGGATTAATTGTTCCTCTCTTTTTTATTCATCCACTTTGGTTTCTTTTTTATGTCACTTTCACTTATTACTTCCTACGGCTTTCTCGTTAGTCGCTTTATTTCCCCCTTCAAACTGTGAAAAGTCAACCAGTCATTAAAGGTCGTCAATGACTCATTGCCTTGTGAACTAGAAATTCATTTACTTTTTTTTTTCCTATACAGGGATGCTATAAGGCAATAATTACCACTATCGAAGAAAATGTTGCCATTGTCATTGGAGTTGCTGCTGGCCTGGTATTCGTGGAGCTGCTTGTCATCGTCCTTGCTCTTTACTTGGCCTGTTGCTACTGGCGCCCACAACATGGTAGGCTCGGTGTTAAAGTCAGTTTTTAAATTATGTTTGTCGCGTGTGCACCGCGTGCTACTCATTGACAGAGTGAATTTACTCAAAAATTCTTAACGGTAAACGTGGCATATTTAACCCTTTGCAGTTTATCGATGCGTAGAGCTACCTATCAAGGAGTAAACGTCAATTGGATCGGAAATGGTTTTAATCGGCAATACATTATCGAGGAGCACTCCTTTTACCCGGATTCTGTATATACCTTGTTCTCCGGAATCTACCCGGAAGCACAGATCATAATCGCACTATTGAAAAGCGTTCGTCAAAGACTTCTACTACTCTTTCATGGAAGTAAAGCAATAATCGAGTCACGCGTGCATGCTAATCTTGGTAAATTCGCGTCGATTGATGGCTTTTTTCTTTTTCTTTTCTTTTATATGATCATTTAGCTTGTACGACATCGAATGTCCGAGTCCGTCTCCGTCCTCGACCTTAGAAAACATTGAGACAGTCATGATAACCTGGTTACTACGATAATCTCAGTTATTAATTATCTATCAGCTTGTTTTATTAATAATCTTATCATTCCGTGATCCTGTTACAAGACCAACAGATCATTCGTAACCACGTCGCATCTTGATTTAATTTGACCAAAATAGTAATCAATTAAACTGTAAATATTCAAAACCAAAAAGTCAATGGACACTTGCTACAAAAGCATACAGAAAATCCATACTAGCTCCACCATACGTCTATTACTAGGAAAAGTAACTTGGTCCGTGCCCTGTAAGATTAATTTCTTGTTGACTCAATCTCCACAATGCTTTTACTCTGACGATGGTGTGCCATAAACAATATTTACTTATTTGTAGACAATAGTGAGAAGTATTTTTGAAACTCCGTTATATTCTTTTCCAACGATCAAACTTGTATTTGTGCTTTCACGTTTAGCTCTTCGGAGTGAATTTTTCATTTATTTTCACTCTCAGTTCAGCTATTGTCTCTTCTCTTCTAATAACGCATTATTGATACAAGGCATTTCTTTAGCTTGCGTAGATGTTTCGTCGAGGCAAGCCTGGTGAAATGGTGGTGAAGTGATCGCGAAGTGGGGATGATGGTTTGGTCGGGTTTGGTTTCAAGTAAGAATTATGATGAAGGTCAAGGTGATCAAATTGACGATGATCGACCTCAGATGCGCGTCACCTGGTATATCGGCTCTTATAAATCTTCAGATTTATTCTTCTAATGCGTCCATCAAGGACTAACAGCAAAGCATGGTAGCTTTGCTCTATAATTTGCATGCCCAATACCATTACTAATTGTCTACAATTAAGCTTCCCAGTTGTCACCTAACTTGTAAGCCAATTACTGTGTATATTAATGCCCTTAACATATTAGCACAAATTATCCATGTGATTGCCAAAAAAAAATGCGTTCACAAAATTGTGCCAATGTTCAAGACTGATATTTCGGAGTAAAAAACTTTTGTGTGATACACAATCATGAAAACATAGATTATGGAAACTTCCTCGATTGTCATTGATAAATATATAAATTTCAATTCATCTTGACACAATGCAGTCAATGAGAAACTCGTTGCCTAGTACTTGACAGTTTATCTCATTAATTATAAGCCTTTACACAAATTGCCATTAGGCTACTATTTATGTACCATTAAGTACGCTGAGACCACCGGGTATGATCATGCTAATAAATTTCTATGAACGTTCAGAACGAAACGTGATAAAAAAATCCTTGTTCAAGTAATGTACGTGGTCATTATTTTTTTTACATAAACATAAGCAAGGATAATGAGACATCGTACGTCCCTGGTACCAGACAATGAAGTATCTCTTATACAACGTATACTGTCAATCCGGTTTAATTGCTTAGAGAACACTAGTGCCAGTCAATTTAACATACTCGATGAGTATAATTTTACAATCCAGAAATCATTAGCTAATTGAATAGCGTTCTAGTCTCAGTGAAAACGCACAGAAATTAAAATAATTGTTTCTCCATCATGGCGCGGGTAGCCCGTGGGGGTAAAAAGGATATTTGATAATGTGAAAAAAAAAAAGGATTGACGCAAGGGATAACACAATTAATTGTAAGTTCGGATAATTTGTGCTAATGTCTGGTAACAATACGATTTAATATCTAATATCGGCGCTTACGTGGAATTTCATGTACAATTTAGAGGGATACTCCATTTATGTATCTCCTATGTATTATATGCGTTGCACGTGGGCGGGCAGAATGTAGTCTTATCGTTCTAGCTATTATTCATTCGTATTCGTTGTTCATGCCGCACAGTTTAGACATTTTCGTTCCAGTGTTAACTTGTTGGTGCTGCTGCTGACGAGGCGTCATTAAGAGCATGGATCTGTTGAGTAGTGCCTCGTAGCATTCGCACTTTGTGACCTACTAGATGGTGGCCCCTGTGCCTTGCTTGCTTGAAACAATAGCCTACTAGACCAAAAGTGTTGGCCCGACTGGCCAGACAAAAATAAAGCTGACACAACAAGTCGTCATCCCTTTTGATATTGTTTATCAAAACGAACGGACGATCCGGACGCCATTTTCCTGCTGGAAAATGTCGACAGATTTTTCGTATCACGTTGGATCGATCGCGCCAATTGGCTTCTCTCCGTACTGTAATTTTAATGGACGATCTGCTCTTCAATTTCTTTGACTTTGAGGTTAGGAAAGAAAGTTTTTTTCTCGGAGCGACAATGATTTATCGATGGATACGATTTCTTTCGTTTTTCGTTATAATAACGGAGATACGTTTGGTTGGACACTTTGCTGTGTATTTTTTTTCTATTTCGTTAATTTTTCTTCTTTTTTTTTTGTTTGTTATATTTCCTCGGTCAAGATAGCCGTACTCTATCGATATCGTTAATGATATTTATTAGACCTGAATATTTGGTTAAAAAATAATTCCTTTTTTTTTACAATACTATTGTTATCGTTAGTACGTATCGCTTTTTTCCGTACATTTCGAATAGTTCAATTTGAGAATTGCCGTTTAATGAAATTCGAAAAATCTTTTTTTTTCATCTTGTAACATAGGAACTTGCAATAGACACTAGACGTTAATTACTCTTTTTCTTTTTCTCTTTGCACGAAAATGCACTATATAAATATTGTATTTCTTTCTACTCATTCTCACAATATTCGTCTAGTACATTTGAATTTTTGTAAAGGATTTTTATATTGCAATTTTTATTTTCTACGTAAAACGTATACGTATCCATTTTCAGGATGAACAAGTAAAACAAATTTCTCATACCCGCTGTATACGAGGGACAAAAAAAAGGTAAAAAATCGAATCGAATGGTTGCAATATAAAAAGACCTTATTTTTTTTTGCAATAGCTGCCTGAACAATGTAATTGGCGATAAAAACGTTCTAGGCGGCGGATCATATAAATTCCAAAATATTGTTCCAATTAAAAATTCTATATACAGATATTATTAGACTTACCATACAAAGCAGCCATGTGAAATAAAGAAAAGATCCGAAAAAGTAATTGATCCTAATCAACAATATATATCGATCCTACTGTGGTTATCCTGTGTCTGGAAAAGGATACACGATTATCCACCGATCAGAACTTAACCTGAAAATTTTGTCCAAGTAATATACATACAACAGTGCACGTAGAAGAGAACATGATGGATCATGGCTTGGCATTTACATTCATAGATATATTCCTTTGTAGATTTTGTAAATCAAATATATAAATCGTGTCAATTAGATCATTAATGATCCAAGTGGTAACGATCGCTATCATCATACTCAAAGTCTTCACGTTACTACTCCACGTTTAATGTCGCATGATGAATTAATTAGGGGCATGCCAATTAATTGAAATATATGAATAAGTGCATAATGGCATATGCATATAATACATAACATCATTCACGTTTATTAAAAATCTGCGACACAGTTGGTTAACGTCGTCGGAGAAGATGATGAAGATTTAATACACGAAGAGTCAAAAAGAAAACGGAATCCAGAACAAAACAACTAATTCGATGCATGTGTTTGATATTACTTTAATTTATTGTAAAGTGTCAGAGTCGTAGATTGTAAATGAATTTTTTACAAATATATTTTCTTTGATCCAACGATCAAAAGTCCTTTGCAAGTTGTCCTTTGAATGTCCACGCGTGGACATTCAAAGATCGACAGGTATATATATTCATTAACGAAATATATTCACATTTTTATACAGAGACTGATACCTGACCTAAAAATGTATATATTTGACACATGATAATCGATATATGATTATATTACGATTGATTAACTATTAATATCTTATTATTATAATTATACATTAATGATAACATTATAGTATCATTGATTTGTTAAGGTTATTCAATGTTTTTGTAAAAACTGTACACACACACGCAGAATTAAAATAAAAATTTTATATTATTCTTAAACTTGACAAGCCGAATGTGTACAATTGCTTTATAGAAATCCCGTTGATTAATTGATAACTTTGTATTTACAAGTAATATACTTTAATTGATTATACAGAGCATTGCTGATATTCATTATACTGAGTGATCTGTTTGTACGATTTTTACTTGAATTTTGTTTCATTCATATCGCAAGTCAAACCAAAAATTCACTTTTAATGTTGTTTAGCAAAAATGTTTTTCTCAATATATTCTACGTCCTTGACTGTTGATATAGTGTATGAATTCTGAATTCCAATGTACATTACTCATTATTAAATTCCCTTAGTCAACCACGAGAAACGTTATTCTATCATTGTACAACGGAAAAAATTCCTGTTCGTACATTTACACTTTAAACAAATGTATTTTTATGATTTCACTAGAAATAAAATATTGTTAATCGTCAAGCTCATTGCTCATACAAAAGACATATTTTTATAAATAATATCAACAATCTTATAACAGATCTATCTATACACTGTGTATTGAATATAATTGTCTTGGAGGCCATTGACAATATATCACTGCATTTGCTACTCTTAATTACAAACAGAATGGTCAGAGACAAAAGATAATATTTAACGCACGATTGAAAATCACATTAATTAAAACTCTCCCAGATGTTCCCGATCGAATTGTCAGTTGTCAATTGTCAATGTTTTAGCTCGAGCTCTAAGAGACATGATTGACTTAGTCTATTCTTATTTTTTTAAATTAATGAAATAGGTTTAATTGAGCCAAGCCGGCTGACTGTTCGGTATACAAAGGGGATTGGGAGAGTAAAGCAAGTCTTATTGAGGTGGTCCGCCCATCATGCCCATTGGTGGCATACCCTGGATACCATAAGGTCCTTGTGGCGGACCCTGACCTCCAGCCATTGGAGAATGCATTTGCATGGCTGGACTCTGAATTTGTTGCGTTGGCGTAACTTGACCACCGGCTGGAGATGCTACCACCTGTTGGTCAAAAAAATGTTTCATTTGATATCTGTCATGCCTTTTATCTCTTAAGCTTGAATTAATGTATTGGATATAGAGGTCGAAAGAATTTTCAATACAGTATTTTAATTTACCTGATTTATCACTGGTGGCTCCGACGGCAGAGTTAGATTGGCTAGCAAATCTCTGACAGCAGGGAACAAAGAACATTCTGAAGGATTAGCACCGTAGTCTGCAAATCTCTTTAATTGTAAAGATGCTGCAGCTGTTGCTGATGCTGGACCCGGATCTCTTTTCTCAGCAAGCTGTGTGAGGTTTGAATTGACGTCGTATACTAAGGGTAGAACTAGTGACGGAGCTTCACCCTGATAGGGTACTCCAATTCTTGTAATTTGTAACTGAAAGAACAACAATATTTAGAAGGAATTCTATAAATGTTAGAAGTAAAGGGTTGAAAATGGAATAAAATTACTCACAAAGAATAGAATCTTATTTCTGCATACTAAAACTGCAGCCATTCCTGTTGGTACAATTGGTGTGGCTGATGGAGGAATTCGCAAACACCATTGTACTGACCATTTCAGTTGTTGTTGTTGTACTAAGCCGGGAACAAGTTCCAGCTTCATTATTTGCACGAAATCTTTTAACACATTGAACGGCACATTGAGCATCCTGCCAAAGCCTGACAAAGTATTTGGTTTGTATGGTGGCGCTGCTGCTCGTGTGTCGAAGAATTTTTCAATGATCTGTAGAAAAAATTCAGTTGTTTGTACGAAATGAATTTCCTAGATTTTTTATAATTGTATAACTACCTGTAATTCCTCCAGGGTCCATTGATCTTTATGTTCAGGAAGTGGTTGAACTTTGATGTGAAGAGATTGCAAATGCTGTGGATTCAATCCTACTCTGCATTGCAAAGTTTCCACTTTGAAATGTACAACACCAGGTTCTGTACTATTGATAGCTGTTAGCTGTAGCAAAAAGTTTACTTTATAGAAGAGTTGTGTATTTTTAAGATTAGTAATAAAACTTAGTTGTTCCAGCTTTGAACTTACGCATTCGTCCGATTGAATAAATCGTTGTAACTGTCGCCGCATGTAAACGCAGCCTAAGAATCTCTCTAGTGGAGAAATATCTGGTCCAGGTAAACCCGAAGGATGAGGCGAGGGAGAGCATAATAAATCCAAAGCTTCATGAGTGAGCAAAGTAGGAACAGCACCAGCCCAGGATCGTTGCGGAAGTACTCTGGATATGTGACTTCCGGCTTTGTGATCAGAAGCTTGAGGACTATGAAGAGCGTGTCCTGGTCTTGCTGGAGAAGGCCGCGGAACACTGGGAGATCCCGGCCAATTTGATGCAGCTGGAGAAGCCATACTTTGAGAAGAAGGAAATGGACTTCCGTCGATGTGACCTAATAACAGTATGAAATTTCACATCTTGAAAGTAAATTCCTTTGCATTACCTAATTATGTATTATACTTGAAATACTTACCAGTTTGCATGAAAGAACTTGCAGGCGAGTGGCCTACTTGATTGTTACAAGGTCCTGGGGATGACGTTGGCATGAGTCCTGCAGGACTAGGAACATGCATGGGATTCAAAGGACTATTTGCTACGAGGCCTGATCCTGGAGAAGGGTGAGGTATCATATTAGGCGTGTTTGGTGGCAAGGAAGGTGGTGAAGCCAAATTAAATGAAGTGGCGGGACTGCTTCCAAAACTCTGATGCTGTCCAGCCTGGAATTAAAAATACATTTAATTTTTTGAATATCTATGTCTATACAATTCCAAATATAACAAATTCTTAATGAACTCTGTTTAATCGCCACCTGTGAGATATTTGTGGTGTGCGGACTTGCAGGGGTGTGTGGATTAGATGGAGGCGTTAATGGCGGATGAAACCTAAGACCATCTCTTTGCTGAGCAGGAGATTGAGGACCTCCTCTGTGATGACTTAGAAAACCAACACTGCCACCTCCTCCATCACTGTCCATTGTTACTGGAGATGGTGGATTGTCATCTTCTGATTGAGATCTTCTTCGGAAAACTGCACTTTCGTCAACGTATTTTGACAGAAAAGCCTGTATAATTATGATTCTCGTATGTCAACATTGCTTAATCGTTTATTTAAAGACACGAAATTACTAAAAACTAACCTTCAGTCCTTGGGTTGGTGTAAATTCGTCTACAACGTTACTTCTATCAAACCGACTGTAAGCTCCATCACGTAAACTTACTAGTCCAAGTCCCCTAAGTCGTAATTCCAAACAGTACATTCCCTGATACGCTAATCTCACTAATGTTACACACTGTGGCATTATGGTAAACGTCTGAACAGGAACTTGCGGCCTCTATAATGCAAATGGATTATTAGACACTTTTTATTTTTATAAAATTAAGAACCTGTAGCTTTAAATTCAATAGTAAGTGACTTACGGAATTGTGAACGCCGAGCTGTGGTATAGTTGGTAACTTGCTGATAGATGTTAGAGGCTGTAAGGTTTCGCTAAGTATGTGAATAATTTGAGCCAAATTTCTATGGCGATTTAAATGAGCTTCGAGCTGTTCTTTTACTAAGGAATGAGCATTTACTGTAGTATTTGTGGGACCTGTATGGAAGAAATTTATATATTGTAATTATAGCGTATAATTAGTTTGTTAAGAAAACAACCGATTTTACTTACTTTTACCAAAAACAAGTTTAAATGCCTTGTCGTTTGTACTCCACTGAACAGTTACTGTAGCTCCTCTATTTGGACCGTAAGCAAATACCAATTTACTATAGCTGAAAGACTTAATAGTAACCATATTCCTCAAATTATATTTCTCTGAAATATTATAAAAAAATATAATTAATTCATTGCAAGAAATTAATACACTTATAAGTAATTAGGTACAACATACCCATTTTGAAGTATTCAGCCAAATCTTGTACAATTGAATATACATGAACAATTTGTGCCCAATCATTTAATAATGAGTCTACTGTACGTGATACAGTGTCAGCCGTTCCCATTTCATATTGGAAATACACTGGCCTCCGTAAACCTAAAATAAAAATTCTGTATAATGACTGTCATTAAGCAAACATAACTTTGGTGTACAATTAAAATAAAATCTTACCTTGTTCCTTAGGATGAGTACTGCTAACAGGACTGCCATAAAAGACAAATTCAGCCATCCAAGTTTTAGCCATGCCTTTACCCTGCACTCTAATGGAAACACTAAGAAGTCTTTTAAGCAGTGCTTGCCAAGTACTACTCGATGCAATACTTGATGACGGTGCAGGTAATTGTACAAGTTTCAGTACCAACGCAGTAGCATTGGCTTCTACCTGAAGTCCTTGGTGTGCTATGTCTCTTCTGGTAAGCTAAAGTTGATACAAGTTTAATAAATAATAAATTTCATTCAACAATACTCAAAGAACTGTTGAATCAAATAAATACACAAGTACTCTTACTTCCTGTGCTAACGTAACAAAAGGTATACGTTCATCACAAAGTGCCACAACGTGAGCTAATTCTGGGATGAAATATGCAGGATGCTTCAATCTTCTATTCTGTGGTGTTCCTGCAGCATCAGTTCTTCCCCCAGCACCAGTACTTCGGCGCTTGTTGTTACCCTTCTCGACCACTTCTGTAATGCACCCCCCATCTTGATCATTATTCCCTAAAAAATCCACCTGTTAATCCCCCTAAATATAGCAAGACACCATACCAGATCCACGCATGGTGGTGCCAGATGTTAAGGATTAGTGCAAACATTGCGTTTGTCTCTAGTAACTGGCAGTCTGTTAATTGTTAACGAGCGTATATACAAGCACTTGCATAGGAGTTTGTACAGTCATATGTATACCTATATGTATTATTGTTAACTGTAGTATAATTAACTAAGATTACTCTAATTATTATTAACTAATTCCAATTACCTACGTATAGCACCTAAGAGGACAGTACATGTTGTTGCTCAAGGTTGTACTAAGATAAAAGCAGGCACGAACTTTCTCTACAATACTATTGCTTGTCGCTGTGTCCACCATTGTTATACTATAAATATTGCTACTGACTCACCACTGTCGACGCTCGTGAATGGTCCATGTGTGATAACAAAAGTGTCGAATTCAATAAGACTCTGGACCTTTAGATACATTTTCGGAATTTCTGTTTCTATGCTATCATCATGAGGATCATCCTCAATGGAACTATGCTTGACGACTGCTAAATAAAATGAGCATTCAATCTCGCACTGGGATGATTCTTTCTCTTTGAATGCGACGATCTAGAACAATTCATTCATATAATTTTATATGCAAGCGACTTCCAGTTTTAAAAATGTTTATGGTCTCACTAATATAACTGTGGGATGTCTATGCAATTGCACGAACATCCGGTGTCTGCTGATTTTAGACATTGGATGATCTGGATGATGCAGTAAAGGTAAACGTTCATGAGGTGTAGCTGGTAGATGCTGTAAGGTCTTCTCGCATCGTCTTTGAGTTATCCAAAATCTGTTGGATGTCATTACGATTTAAGTAACCATATTAGACTGCTAATTAAACTTATTCCATACTAACCTCAATTCTGATATAAGAGTAGGGAGACGAGAATGATCTCCGTTTAAGGCGGTTGTCAATTCTGGTACAAGTGGTGCGTCATATTGCGGTACATGACACTGTAACATGCCTGTATGCGTGTCTACAGTAACCAGAAGGAGTTCAGCTCGCAAGCAAGGCTGAAGAATTGGGACCGACAAAATTGCCGGTGAACCAGCAAGAGTACATTCGACATCCTTTAACATTGCCTGCAGTTCCTGTTTTAATTCCGAAAGTCTACTTCTTGTTCTAACGTAAATAGTATGAACCAGCAAACACTCCATTGATAGCTGATCTGATCTTATGGCTCTGTCTGCTATCTCACTTTCCTACATTGAATGATGTTACGATAAGCCATTTTTATTTCACTTTCAGATTTAAAATTGATACTCACTTTACTACCTAGTGAAGGTACGTGTACTACCGCAAGTGGTCTAGCAGGATCATGTTGATCAACTTGAACAGTCAATCTGTATCCAAGTTCGGATCTAGGATCTTTACTTGTTAATTCTCTGAAAGATTATGCAGAGTTCACTTGTGTTCCATAGTTGTGTATTAATATGAATAAAATAGAAAATTCTTACCTCCAATATGATATAGACAAACATTTTCCTGGCACATATTCATCAACGTGTATGTGATCGTCTAGTCTGTCACGAATTAATCTTAACGTTTGCGAGTATAACACTTCCAGTTGTAGGGATTGACAAAAATAGTGTAGAATGTGGTAAACTTCTGAAAGAGGATTTGTACTTTCTGCCAATCTCGATTGTACGACCTTTATTCGTGAAAGAGTATTTTATATTAATTTTTTGATTCTTCATCTATGATAGATTCTATAATTGAACGAAAGTATTGTATAAAGCTTACTTGGTGTACGTATCTGGTTTGCAATGGATGCACCAATGCTTTCCCGTCTCCTGTTTCACGATCAGAAACAAGAATTTCTAATTCTAGTAATCGCCAGGGAACTGCAGGACCATCACCCATTACAGTGAGGGAGACTGAAAACTCTTGTTCTACGAGAAATGTAACTCTTCCAGCCTCGATCTGTGAAATGAAACATTATGTATGCCAATGATGTTTGTAAAAATTGATAGAAAAGGTTTATGTGGTTAACAATTGTTTTACCTTCAAGTTACGCATCTGTGGTAATAAGTTTCCGGTCACCAAACGATGCTGAATCACTTGATTAAGCCGTTGCAACGTAGTTCTTTTTTCTGCTGGTGTTATAGGATCGGGAGGAACTATCCTTTCCTGAGGGAGACAATTTAGTTGCATTTTTTTTTTAAATCCAAGGACAATGAATAAACCTACCCTGATACAGGCTGGCAAGCGACTGTAAGTTCCAGTTGTAAGAACTTCCACAGCAGCAGGTATGTGAAAATTAGGCAATCTAGCATGTACAAGGGTTTCACGAGCCATTCTAGCTAACATATCTGCGGTATCCACAAATAGTAGAGATTGCTTATCTAGAAATGCCATAATATGCTACAAAGGAAAAAAGAATATAAGTATTTAGTAATCTATAAATATTTTAATAAAATTATGTTAAATATAACTTACTGCAGATTTATCTACTTTTGAAGCACTATTTGCCCATTTTACTAATGCCAATAAACGCACAAACAATTGTCGCGTTCTTGCAGAAAAATTGTATATCTCAATCTTACGCTCCATATCTGTTTTGCGTGGCAGGCTAAATTAGAGAAAGGCATAATAGATCGTATAGCAATTTATCATTTCATTAAGATAACATTTTAAATTATACATACAGCTCAGCAAGTACAGTAAGTTCATGGTAAGTTCTCTGTATAATAAAGTCTATTAGCATCCCCAGAGAAATAGAACCACCACGATTCCCCTCCTGTGGTATATTATTCGCCACAGGAGTTTGGTGTCCCTCTAATGGTACTGGAGCCATTATAACTGACCAGTTATCCTTTAATTACAGGGTACACTCTTCTTAAAGTATCGGAATGTTATATCGCCATACAATTATTATACCTATTGAACAATAGAAATATCTTATTAATCAGGGTTGGCAAAATGATACATCAATGAAAAAAGCTAGAATGTATTATTAAAACATAAATATGGTATAAACGTTTAGAAACGAAATATTACTAATCAAACTATACTCGTTGTAAGGTTATCTTTAGAAACTATAATATTGTATTTAAGTGATACACGCTGATACTAAATAACACTTTAACACAACATTATAAAGAGTATCTATTTTAAATATTAATAACTACAAAAATTCACAGAACATGTTAGAATTGATGTAGGACAAGTGTGAAAGTCGTGGTTAATAACGATCATTGAAATCAGTAATGACAGTCTAATCAAAAGATGATTACGTTAAGAAATATCAATTGTTAAAAAACATAATGTATAATTAAAAGTGTTCAATATTTACTTGATATCAATAAAACACTTTCCAGAATATCGCAACACCAATATCTAAGCGCCGAAGAAAGACGCCATTCTTATTTTCTCTTTGGTTTTCTGAATCATAAGTTCATATAAGCATAGCGCTGTAATACATTTCTCAACATCTGCCGAAATAGTAGAAAATTATGTATTTGTATGCTGGATGTTGGTATAGAAGTTTCCCTTGTAATCGATGCGTTACAATAGTATTCTGAACAACGTTCCTACAATTGCCCATAGATTACGTATTTAAGTACGCCAGAATATTACGAATTATAAATTCAAAACCTCTTCATTATTTTTTGCTACTCATCTCCCAGAATGAGGATAATAAGCAAAGAAGAAAAAATGTTGTTTCAATTCTTTTATGTTAAAAGAAAAACACTTGTTACATAAAATTCATTACTGTTTAATTAATTCAGACGTTCCGTAAACGATTTAATTCAATGAATAAAGAAAAGGAAGCGGTACAAGGAAGATTAAGGAAAAAAGTACAAAGGTAATCGTTATAAATAAAATCTGGTCCACTAGATAGTCAAGGGTATTTTAGTTGTCGATGCAATTCCAAAAGCCATTACTCAGTGAAGGAATCGTCGAGAGAGTAAGAGAATTTCCCTGTTGGCAGTTGAAATCTTATTACCATCCCTTCTATAGGACTCAACTCATAATTTCCTTTTCATCGCAAAAACCTCTGATCCGCATGGAAAACTACCGTTTATCATCTACTTCCAGTCAGTTTCCCATAGCCTATCTATATCTGACGGGAAACACGAAGAATTTATTAAAGAAATAAGAGACGGGCAATACCTCAGATGACGTCACTCGAACTTCATACGAATGAGACGCAGTAGCATAATACGAAAACCTCGAAAGACACCTTTTGATATTAAGTACTACTGCATTCATGAAAGAGGCAAGCTTCTATTTCATCCACGACTAGGCGTCATGACAGCGAGGTAGGAATGAATATATGAGAACAGAAGCTTTTCGCCGGTAAAGCAGAGAGAATTCCGTCTGAAGGAAAACGTAATCGTTTGCGCCCTTAGGTCGAGTAGCTGTCACGAATAGGTTAGGAACGACGAGTGAGGTTGTCTCTGTATTTCAGCATAGGCTTTGATCATTTGGTATTTTCAGAGAAAGCCAAAGGTCTATAGTTTCCTGAAGTGCACCCCTCGCCACTGGATATCGCGCAGGGATGGTGTCTGAAGAAGATGAAGGGACCAAGTGAGGAAGCGAGGTCGAAGTCGCAAGGAGAACCCGGTGCCCAAAGGGAGGAAGCAAGAGAGCAGAGCGCAGAGTCATGGCTCCCGAGATAAATAACCGGGCAGTAATTGCGTGCGGAGCGATACCATATTTCATACGCGCTATAAGCCATAACTTAGGAGGCAATTACCGTGAGTACGTCATTTATCATCGTGCGCCGGCGGAAGCCGTGACGGCCGGTGGCAAGGGCGGCGGCGCGCTCCTCCTCGGCACCGAGGATGGGAGGAATGGTCATGGGAATGGGGCCGACAACGCGGTACAAACGTTTCTGGGAGAACGTGGATTTACATTAGAGATTGCCTAAAACTTGTATCATCTTTGTCTCAGGATCGTGACGCGTGCTGATACTGAAAGACGACTTGGATCGGATGTTGGGATTGCAAGGTGAACGAGAGTAAGCAGCATCCTGATACCTTTTGATAAACTGCTGTTGATTTATGAGATAGGGAGTCTCACAGGAAAAAAAACGGTTATTTTTTTTTACTCCCTACAAAATTGAACTTCAGAACATTTAGTACTGGGTGAAAATGTAAAAATACCAAGAGTGTATTGGAAAGTTGAAAAATGGCAACGACGCGATTTAATATTATTAGGAGCAGGTGTGTACGTATATCGTAGTAATAACTGCGCTTGCAATAATAGTCGCGTATATACCGGAGTACACTGCGGTATAATCGGGACTGGGATAGGTTGGTAGAGCTGTTCCTGTGGATGGGGTTAGCAGAAGAGGGTGAGCAGCCTGAGAGCTGGGCAACGAGCAAACGTAGTAGTGGCCACTAATGTCGGCCGCAAGCTCTAAGCACTATGAATCTGTGCGGGCCGCCATTGGCGTGTGTAGCGTATGTAGTGCGGGTAGAGCCAGGTCGAGGCACGAGGGCCACACACCGGATTAATTACAAAGCCCCGCAAAAGCCGGCAACAAGGAGACCGCAGCGACCCCACGACAATAGAGTGTCCGCAGCTAATATTACTACACACCAGAGCCAGACCCCAACGCAGCCTCGTAATACGACTTGAATTATGTCCGCAGGGAAAATGCCTACTTCGCTCTACGAATACTGTACGTACCTAAGGCTACCTGGGTACAGTGGCAAGGCTGGATAACACCAGCCATTCATAAGGGTCGCCAACAATTAAAAGCCTGAAGATTAAGTTGGGTCTTCATGGGGTGGATTCTTGGTAAATCTCAATGAAATCTTTATTTTATATTTCAATGGTTGGTCAGACTGCAGGGTATCTGCTGGAGATTAATTTACCTTCAGTGAATGCACTCGAAGACTTACCGAGTCACGAGATCCTCCTTACTATTGAATCCCGTCGACCTGGCTTCAGGGACTGCCAATTTCCTAGAGGATAAAGTGGGACAAGCGGTCAGAAGATGGAGAGATGGCTGGGGAACGGTAAAGAACTATAGACTGGAGTGAACCGAAGTCAGGTCTCGAAAGACATACGTTCTCAGTGGCAGGACCTGGGTATCGGTTGGTGCTAGGCGATGATGGGATGACTGGGAGGCCAAGTGTCCCGTAGGGCATCACCTCTACCTACTTCACTTCACACCCTATTCGAGTATTGCTTCTCAGCCTAGGGAGCTCCCGTAAGGCACATATTCTCTGATGCCGTCTTCCAATGTAATCCCGATATAGGGTTTCAAAAGTTTTCAAGATGGGAAACTCGACACTGCCAAGATACCCATTCCAGGGTGGAATGGAAAGCGATCAGGAAACGTATCCATCAAACTTCTAACTCCATTATTGTTCTAAGGCATGACGGAACTTGGGGTTAGCGTTAAATCGATGAAAGTTTCCCCTGGAAGAATATTCCTTCAATTCACACCAGAGTTTCTTCAAGCTTCAAAAACATTGATCGAGGTACACCATACAGAATTTATGACTTCAGTACAGTGAGCGTTCGTTCAAGAGCTTTTAATTATTTCGTCTCTTCATCCACAAAGCAGCGACCAACGTTTCGCATCATAGCTTTTAATTGTATGAAAGCTTTTACGTCTCGACGTTTCTCTAATAGAGTTAACCACGAGGAAGAGTGGCAAATGTCACAAGTTCAGTAACGTTGCGTCTTATCGTGAGCATCTCGCTTTTGTTTTTAATCTCCCGTTAAGTAAGAGACGAAGAGATGGAGCCATTTCGCGAAGACGTCTTACCTCGTAGCCATCATCGTAACGAAGTGAGCCTAATGCCTCCCAGAGCCGCAGGGGTGTATTTTTAAACCACTCTTGCGAACATACAATTTCATATTCTATTTTATAAGAGACATCTCCAAGCACTCCAGAAGGCTCCTCGCGTATCCTCTTACTTGGAAGCGTCGATACTCTTACTTCCTTTCTCCATTTTAACCTCAACCCCACGTTCATCCCTTTTGACCCACCCTTCCAGAGCTACGCACACTCTGACACACGTGTACGTAGGTTCACGACATCTTCTGCTCATCTCTGGTCGTAGACCTTAGCGATACTTTCCACCACGGGTCGTAGGCATTGTGAAAGTAACACGACCCGCTAAAGTGCTTCTAGCTGACGGCTTATCAATTCTTTTCGATGTCAGATAGCATTTCGATATCGAAGGTTGTCTTTGAGACAGTCGGGACTCTCGAGTTAGTCTGGTCTAGCAAGGGTGGATTTTGTGTTTGGATCAACATGGGAATTTGGGAATACCCTGAGGTGTCGTTTGGATTTATCAGGTTTACGTTCGACGAGGGAATTTCAATGGTCGATATGGCAATTAAAGTGAAATTACAGGAGAGTAATTTCAAGGATGATCCTTCATCCTGTTGAGGTGAAAACCTTTTACCAATCATTTCAGATTGAGTTGGGATTTAGTTGAATCGAGAAAGGGGAATGGGATTTGGCGCTTATCACGTTGATGGTTCACTGGGTGTGTGCCTCATGGCTGTGGTTCTTGGCTTCGCGGCGTCGCGGCTGCAAAAGCAACCAGCCGACTTTGCGATGAAAAATTAAAGGATTTTGATCAAAGGATGTCCCTCCTTCGTCGGCTGTCACTTACAGGTACCGTCATTACGTGGGTTCCTAACGTGGTACACGTGTCTGGGAGTGTGTAAGCGGCTGCGGTTGAAGCCTTCTGCGTCGCTCCTCGACTCCTGAACGAGTACTCGGAAAACATAGTTAGCTATAACTTCAATTTCCTTACAGACTTCCTAAGCGATGCTAATGCCGCTACCATCGGAAGCTACAACAAGAATTGCAAGAATCTATTCAGATAGAAGTGGAGCAAAACCAATGTATAAGGTCACAGTACCATTTTGACAATAATCTGCTTACTGTTATTTGCAAAATCCATACTCATGTCATCTGTTTTCAGTTGGAGGATTCTGCTGACGGAATTGTAGGTATCTACATGGTACTATTGGTATACGGATACAATTCGCCAGTGGCCATATTCGGGCTGAAGACCTTGTCGATGCAGAAACTGAAATTGAGGAAGATTCGCAAGAGATTGGAATCGACGATACGAAACTGAAAAGCGGTAGTAGTATTTCCAAAGCCGTTAGGCAAACTCAAAAGAGCCGATAAGGGGATATACGGAATTGTTTGTGTTTCTAAATATTGGCTCTTCGATGCTACTATTGCGCCTCTGGAGGACGGCAGCCGCCATTGGTTCTGGCAACTTTTCATCGTTGCCTCTTGACAAGCTAAGGCGTTCGGCAGCCGCGCAAATTGGCTCTGGGATCTACGGATTCAGCCTCCTGCCGAAGCAAAGCTGATCCAATCTCAAGCCAAACGATGGCTGACTGTTAACGTTAGATCCCTCAAATATTATTGTCTCCTTCTTCGGAGGGTTATTGTGTCATCGTGTTACCATTT